AATGAAATCCTTAACAACTTCAATCTTTTCTTCGTTTATCATGATGTTGCTTATTGGTCCAGTTGTGAGATTTTTGTTTTCTTTATGTTGAGGTGCAATTCATACTGAAGGCTCTAGTCTTTGATCTTCGTCAGTAAATACTTAAAGTCCTCCTCACTTTCAGCAGCAAGATTCTGTCATCTGTATATCAAAGGTTGTTAGTGCATCTTCCTCCAATCCTGATGCCTCATTCTTCTTCATATAGTCCAGCTTCTTGGATTATTTGCTCAGCAAATGGTGAAAGGATACAACCCTGACACACAAGTTTCCTGACTTTAAACCATGCAGTATCCCCTTGTTCTGTCCCAGTGACTGCCTCTTGGTCTATGTACAAGTTCCGCATGAACACAATTAAGTGTTCTGGAATTCCCATTCTTTGCAATGTTATCCATAATTTGTTATGATCCAGACAGTCAAATGCCTTTTCGTAGTCAATAAAGCACAGGTAAACATCTTTCTGGTATTCTCGGCTTTCAACCAATATCCATCTGACATCAGCAACGATATCCTTGCTTCCGTGTCCTCTTCTAAATCCTGCCTGAATTTCTGGCAGTTCCCTATCGATGTACTGCTGCGACAGTTTTTGAATTATCGGCAGCAAAATTTTACTTGTGTGTAATATTAATGATATTGTTCTATAATTTCCGCATTTGGTTGGATCACTTTTCTTTGGAATGGGCACAAATGTGGATCTCTTCGAGTCTGTTGGCTAGGTAGCTGTCTTCCAAATTTCTTGGCATAGACGAGTGAGCGCTTCCAGGGCTTCATCCGTTTGTTGAAACATCTTAATTGGTATTCCATCAATTCCTGAAGCCTTGTTTTTTGCCAATGCCTTCAATGCAGTTTGGACCTCTTCCTTCAGTACCATCGGTTCCTGATCATATGCTACCTCCTGAAATGGTTAAACATCGACCACTTCTTTTTGGTATAATGACTTTGTGTATTCCTTCCATCTTCTTTTGATGCTTCCTGCGTCATTCAATATTTTGCCCATAAAATCCTTCAGTATTACAACTTGAGGCTTGAATTTTGTCTTCAGTTCTTTCAGCTTGAGAAATACCAACTATATTCTTCCCCTTTGGTTTTCTAACTTCAGGTCATTGCACATTTCATTATAATGCTTTACTTTGTCTTCTTGAGCTGCCCTTTGAAGTCTTCTGTTCAGCTCTTTTACTTCATTATTTCTTCTGTTTGCTTTAGCTACTTGATATTCAAGAGAAAGTTTCAAAGTCTCTTCTGGCATCCATTTTGGTCTTTTCTTTCTTTCCTGTCTTTTTAATGACCTTTTGCTTTCTTCATGTATGATGTCCTACCACAACTTACCTGGTCTTCGGTCACTAGTGTTCAATGCATCAAATCTATTCTTAAGATGGTCTTTAAATTCAGGTGGAATATATTTAAAGTCGTACTTTGGCTCTCGTGGATTTGTTTTAATTTTCTTCAGCTTCAACTTGAATTTGTATGTGAGCAGTTGATGGTCTATTCTGCAGTCAGCCCCTGGCCTTATTCTAGTTGATGATATTGAGCTTCTCCATCATCTCTTTCCACAGATGTAATCAATTTGATTCCTGTGTATTCCATCTAGCGAAGTCCACGTGCATAGTCGTCATTTATGTTGTTGAAGAAAGCTGTTTCCAATGAATAGTTCATTGGCCTGCCAAAATTCTGTCAAGTGATCTCTGGCGTTGTTTCTATCACCAAGGGCATATTTTCCGACTTCTGATCCTTCTACTTTGTTTCCAACTTTTGCATTCCAATCACCAGTAATTAGCAGTGCATCTTGATTGTATGATTGAATAATTTAATACTGTAGAAGCTGGTAAAAAGCTTCAGTTTCTTCATCTTTGGCATTAGTGGTTGGTGCATAAATTTGAATAATAATTGTATCAACTGGTCTTTCTTGTAGGAATATGGATATTATAGTATCACTGACAGTGTTGTACTTCAGCACAGATCTTGAAATGTTCTTTTTGACAGTGAATTTGACACCATTCCTATTCAATTTGTCATTCCCAGCATAGTAGACCATATGATTGTATGACTCATAATGGCTAATACCAGTCCATGTCAGCTCTCTAATGCCTAGGATATCAGTTTTCAAGTGTTCCATTTCATTTTGGACAATTTCTAATTTTCCTAGATTCATACTTTGTACATTCCACGTTCCAATTATTAATGGATGTTTGCAGCTCTTTCTTCTCATTTTGAGTCATGCCACATTAGCAAATGAAGGCCCGAAAGCTTTGCTCCTTCCACGTCATTAAGGTCGACTCTACTTTGAGGAGGCAGCTCTTCCGCAGTGTATTTTGAGTGCCTTCCAACCTAAGGGGTCATCTTCCAGCACTGTAACAGAGAGTGTTCTGCTGCTATTCATAAAGTTTTCACTGGCCAATTTTTTTTAGAAGTAGATTGCCACATCCTTCTTCCTAGTCTTTCTTAGTCTGGAAGCTCTGCTGAAACCTGTCCACCATGCGTGGCCCTACTGGTATTTGAAATATCAGTGGCATAGCTTCCAGCATCACAGCAACACACAAGCCACTGCAATACGACAAACTGACAGAAGAGTGGTGGCTGTAAGCAGGAGAGCTTTCGAAACATCACAGAGGCATATTTCAGGAATGCAGTGGGTACATGGTCATCTGGAAGCTAGAACAGTAGGTAATACAATGAGAGAAAGTTTGATTGGGAAGCTACTACAGGCTTCATTTTCTAGGCCTTGTTGTAATAGTCCAAATATCAAGCTAAATTGCTGGAAACAAATGGAAATTTGGCAAGCCTACCAGTTTCTACTGTCTTGACATTCTATGTGGGTCCTTGTATGATAACATTGACAACTGCCTAGACTCCTGCATTTTCATTCTCCTTCCCCCAACTCTTCTACTTCTCCTCATCCTTTAAGGCCTAACTCATGCATCACTTCTTCAAAGAAGCTTTTCCTGAGCCACCACTCATTGCTCCGCTCAAACGTCCCCCACTCACGCAAAGGGTTGGATTATGTCCCCACCTCTATGCTTTTATGAAACCTGGTGTAAATCTCGAACATTTTCCTATTATTCAACTTACTATGTAGTATTACATTGTTTGCCAATAGTCTTTCTCATTCAGTGAAACATGTGAGCTCCTTGAGAACAGGAACTATGTTTAATTCATTGTTAGATCCCCAGAATCTTGCATAGTGCTTGACACAAATGACATGCTTAAGAATTTTTTGTCAAATAAATGAATGAATGGGTGGATGACAGCAGTAACTGGTATTTATTGTTAAAATTGTTTGAACTATTGTATCTCCTTCATGTGTTCTAATTTGGTTAAAATCTGTGATGAGAACTGACAGTGTTCCAAGTGAAGTCAGAGATGTATTTCTTTGCATTTGTGGAGTATCTTCAAAATCAACACTTTGTTTTAGGTTAACCCTTTTTTCCCCTTAATCTAAGAATAGTAGAGAAATTGGGGAAAATGAAACTTAAAATTTATAAAAATGTGTTCAACAGATTGAATATCTACTGAATATTTTTTGGAATAAATCACTAAATATTTACTGAATTCCTACTATGTAAAGTGGTGTGTGTCCTAGGCATTAAGGCAAATCAGACCCAGATTTTACCCTCAAGGAGAATGTAGTTTAGATACGCGTAAGAATATATTTTGAGAATATGTCAAGAATATATGTAAGAGACTCATATAAAGGAAGAAAGCAATATATAAGAGAGACCAATGTTTACTAAAATGAAAGAACATGTGATAAGGGTCATACAGAGGTCAGAGATGTCAAAGATAAATTGGCTGGATTCTCAGTAGCCCCCACAGGGCAGGAGAACTAGATTGGACCATCGTGGCACAGGATCTGCCCTCAGCTGTAGAGGTCCCAGTCCCAGAGATGGTCAGGTCCAAGGAGACTGGCGTACACACACGCCAAACTTACTGGAACTTGATAAACCAAAAGGCCAATTGGAAAGTTAATTATGATTCAATTATGGACTCAGAGTAGAGGGAGCTGGCTGGTACTGGAGATGGTTCAGTCACACACTACAGATGCATTGACTTCCAATATAGCCTTTCTCTCCAGGGAACAAAGACCAGATCCAGTATTTCCTCTCTTTGACAGTATTGGATAAATAAAGGACCTGGTGGATGCAAGTATATGCCATAAATGGTAACTATTATGGGATTTCAGAGGAAGGAAAGATTACATTCAGCCATAGAGCTCAAGGAAAGCTTTATGCGTGAGGTGGTATTTTAACACTGTCTTTAGTATTGCTTAGAGTCTGCAGCTGTGAGTTGGGGGAGAAAAATGTTCGAGACAGAGGGGAAAGCACGAGCAAAGACAGGAGTAGTTTAGTTTTGCTGGAACATAGAGTATGTGAAAGATAGTGGAATATTGTGAAGGAAAGCTGGAACAAGATCATGGAGGGTCTTGAAATCCAGTTATGAAATCTGAACATAATTCTTTGGGTAATGGCAAGTCATAACAGAGAAAGAACATGATTAGAACTGTACTCCAGGAAAATGAATCTGGCTTCAGTGGGTGAGTTGGCTTGGAGGGGGCACTCCCAGTTGCAGAGGCCACTGGGAAACTACCAAATCTATAGGAAAGGATTGGACTGAGTACAGTAGTGGTATAGATGGAGTAGAGAGACTAAAGGGTACAAACCAGGAAGTAGCATGTTTTTTTTCCTTTCACACACACACACATACAAATGCAAAACATAACAAAACAAAATCTGTCCTAATTTTTATGAAATTCTCCATTTATAAAGGATTGAAAAATCACTGATCCATTTAGCCAATTTGATTGATTTTTGGATTTTCTAAATAGCTTTTCAAAGGGTCAAGACAGTGGTATCTATACCTAAAGGGTCAGCTTAAGGGAAAAGAAAAGAATATTCTACATGAGTAAAATTTCTAGTCTTCCAAATGTTGACTCTTAAAAACTTTCTAACGTTAGCTAACTCAAATCACAGGAATGCTGCCGATATCAGAAGCAGGAACTTTGTGAGAAGTTTGATTACCTGTACAGCATCCTGGAGGCAAGGAAGAATGAAATGACACAAGTCATCACCCGGACCCAAGAGGAGAAACTGGAACATGTCAGAGCTCTGATCAAAAAGTATTCTGATCATTTGGAGAACGTATCAAAGTTGGTTGAGTCAGGAATCCAGTTCATGGATGAGCCTGAAATGGCAGTGTTTCTGCAGGTAAGTTTCTTTTTGGCACCAGAGGAAACAAACTGAGAAGGTGGGTGCTGGAGAATTCACTGTTATCACAAACTGATGTAAGAATGTCTCCTTACAGGGTACTTGCATTATTCTGTGTCTATCTCAGTTTGACTCATTTTACCAGACAAAATATAAGCCCAGTCTGTGGTTCTATCTTTATCTGTTTAAATGATTTAATAAACATGTATTTAAAAGACCATAACATTACTTAAATATAAGAGGGTTATACTATAAAACAGCAATTGTTTATGACATTTAGAAGCTAAGCTAGGAGATTCCAAGTCAGCAAAGGAAAGAATTATGTCTCAACACCATCTTTGATATAAAGAATTTAAGGAGGCCTATCTTTTGTTTGCTTTCACAGAATGCCAAAACCCTGTTACAAAAGTAAGTAATTTTTATTTTGTGGGAAAATGTATGCTTTTCATTTTTACCCAAGGCTATCAAACTTCAAACAGTGACAGCAAGTAGCAACTTGTCTTTGTTGCAGAATTTCTGAAGCATCGAAGGCATTTCAGATGGAGAAAATAGAACATGGTTATGAAAATATGAACCACTTCACAGTCAACCTCAATAGAGAAGAAAAAATAATACGAGAAATTGATTTTTACAGAGGTTTGTTACTCTTTTGACCATTTGGCCAAAATTGCAGTTGGGTGAAAGCTACAGAAGGGTTCAGTGGGAGGAAAAGGGGATTCAGATTCACCTCCAGAATCAATGTCGACAACTTTACAAGGATAGTAATCCAAAGTGAAGCTCTGTCTCCTTACAGTATCACATAGCTTGTTGACAGAGTTTATTCAGCTTTGCATATCACGGTGCCTATTATAATGCTGGAGCCCTGGTGGTGCAGTGGTTAAGAGCTCAGCTGCTAACCAAAACGTCAGCAGTTCAAATCCACCAGCTGCTCCTTGGAAACCCTATGGGGTAGTTCTTCTCTGTCCTATAGTGTTGCTATGAGTCAGAACTGACTCAACTGCAACTGGTATTATAATGCCATTTTAGGGAGCATTTGACTCTGGGTAGTCAAATACTTAATAATTGATGGTGATGATGATATTTTAACCTCGACCATACACAAAATGTTAGCCATGATGATGGAATGTCATCAGATGCAAGATTAAGAATGAGATAAAAATAAAATATAGAAGACATCTGAGCTAGATATTATTGCACATCCACTTACTCAAACTTTAGAGGGCAAGAATAGTAATAAGTCACAACCCGGAAATAAAGCTGAGTCTATGTGCCCAGATGTACTCCCCGAGCCTTAAACATAGCCCTACACTTTGGCCTAGATTTCCCACTCCTGGAAATAGATCTTGATGAAATAATTGAAAAGAGGAAAATAACTTTGGAACTGACCAAATCTTTGATCACCTTGATTCATCCTAGTCCATCTAGATGAGTGAAATCCCCAGCTAGGCCACTGATAATGCTATGAGGCTATACCAGTGTCCATGGACTTTCATTTAGAGGCAAATCTTCAGGATGAATTTTTTTTTTTTTAAATGCTTAATATTGTCTGTCCTTAATATTGTCTGAAGTTAAAGCTCATTGGGTTACGAAAAGAGTCTGGGCATTAATTGTGGCAAAAGTTAGTATTCACTGAACAAAGGGGGTAAAAAATTAAAACAAGGCGAGTGAGGGTTTTGTGTGTTTTCTGAGATAGGGAAGACAGGTGCATTTCAGTCGAATACAGCAGAGTTAAACAGGTGATAATCCCAGCCCTCCAGAGTTTCCACAGGTAATAGACTATGATAAAAATGTGGACAGGCTCTGGGATGGTGGTGAGGACTGCACTTTGTCCTAGGCAGGGAAGCAAGAAGATGGTGATGGTTAGACACCCCTTCACATTTGTCCTGTCCACACTGAACTGGAGCCACCAAGCCCCAGCCTGGCTTACTTGTGCCATTGTCAACCCTCTGTTTGAAATGATTTCCTCACACACTTGTTTTTAACCTGGTCTGTCAGTACTGGGCATTAATTGCTTTCATGGCTGTGGTGGTAATTATAATGATTAAAAAATAGCTTTCCTTACCTGACCAGAAGAAGAAGATGAAGAAGAAGAAGAAGAAGGAGAAGGAGAAGAAGTAGTAGCACTGGAAGAGGTAGAAAATGTTCAAACGGAGTCATCAGGAGAAGATGAAAGTCCCGAGAAAGCCTCTCAACCCTCACTGCTGGCCTCCGAGCTCCACGTGGCCTCGGGGGCACTTCTGGTTTCCTCTGCAGAGCCACCTCCAGACCTGCCATCTGCTGCTGAGGCCCCAGTGACACAGGTAACTCTTCATGAGTTCCTTTCTCCAGGACACACAGGTGTGCCTCTTTGCTGAACAGCCTAAACAATTTATTCTAATGTAAGAAAAAAAATGAGTATATGCCAGACATTGCATGTGGAACACAAAAGACTTCAGGGCAATCACAGCGTAAGGAAGAAAAGTCTTCTGAGTGATGCAACAGGTCGTTGTTGTCGTAGCTGGTTCACAAGGTGTAGTTTAACAAGATTTTCCCACCAAAAATGCCCTCAAATCTGAGGCCATCTTTGTCTAGAAATTGTGTGTGTGTGTGTAACACATATTAATTCATAGACAATATCAGGAGGATGGGGTCTGCTCTTTCTTGCTTAATGACTACAGATACAGACTATAGGATGAGAAATAATATAGTATGAACACTAAAATGATTATACTTTCAGAATTTTGATTTTTCTGTAGGTAGTAAAAGAAACCCCACTAGTTTATGTCCCTGCTGCTTACCCTGAAATACAACTTTATCTTCCCTTCCACGGACAAACAAGCAAATTCTGTTTTCGTATCGATTTGCCACTTGATGAGATTACATGTTGTTAGATTGTTTAAAAGACTTCTTAGGAAATTAGCTCATCACAAATGCTGCACCTGATTGGCTGACCATGTGTTTCTGAAATGTCACTGTCCTGTTCTCAAGCCTTTGTGCCAGCTCCATTACACCTTTAGCAGACAGGATCCCAATTTATTGAGTTTGTGGGGAGTGCCCACTCATCAAAGAGGGGCCCTGGTTTTGCACCTGCTTTCTAAGTGGATTGAAACTATCTATAGAAACAAAACCTCAGAGCGGGTACTCAGAGATGGAATCATATCCTATGCTCGGTCTCCATAGGAAACCAGACCAAGATACTATTTACCGTCCTGAGAATCTTGATTCTGGGTGTACCAATTGCACTGAAATTGAAAATGGTGTGGTAACTAAATAAGGGTTGGACTTGACCAATAAAATAGATTTTTGGTTTTGGAAAAGAAGTTTGGCGGCCCACATCTAACACAACAAAATTAATTCTGGTCAGTAGTTCGATCCTTCTTCCACATCCAATACTTTATAAGCAGTTTTCATTTTAGACTTCTGTTTCAGCCTGCGCTGGGTAGCGCTTAGTGAAAGACAAGCCCAGAAAAGAAGAGGGGGCACATTCACATTCCAGGACAAAGGGGCTCTGTCTTCACATTCCTTCCCTTAGCGCTCAGGAGGGTGGGATGAGCTAGAACATGCAGTTGGGCACTGCGCTCACACAGCTCACAGTCTTCAAACCCAAAGGGAACTAAAATCAACTGCTCTTTTCTTCTTCTTCTTCTTTTTTTTTTTTTTTTTTTACTTTTGAATTTATCTGTTCTGATTAAGGGGGAGGTTGTGCCCAGTGGCTCTCAGCAGACCACAGAGTCTGAAACTCCAGTCCCTGCAGCAACGGAAACCACGGATCCCTTGTTTTACCCTAGTTGGTATAAAGGCCAAACCCGGAAAGCCGCCAACCCACCTTCCACCACAGGGAACGAAGGTCTGGGACAAGTAGGGCCTTCAGGTTCTGAGGATTCCAATGAACAGAAGGCAGACGTGGCAGAAGCCGCAGCCAATGAGAGGGCAGCAGAGAGTGGTAAGGAAACTAGTTCACCTGCAGCTACTTCTCAGGTTAGTGTTGATGCTCTTGTGTCTAATGCTTTCCCGTGCTGCCGGGCCCTGGGGAATAGGCCACAGCGAGAGGGACAGAGAGAAATCATTGCCTTGGGAAAAACAAAGAGACAACTGACTTCAATGTTGGCATGTTTTTTAAGCATTATATGAAAGGAAAACAAAAAACAAATTTGATGTCGCTCTGACAAGTGACCTCACACCTGCCTTCCCAGGGAAGAGGCAGAAAGCTGCTTTGTCTTCGGTGACTGGCGGGTGTCATTGGTTCTCCTCTGGAATGGCCGCGTGCCCTTGCTCAGCCTTTCCTGCATCCTCCTTGGGCTTCCAAGCACTAATCACCTGCTTTTGTGTAGTTCCCAGCAACCCCCAAGGAACATGTGTGAATTGAGTTTTAAATCTGCTCTGGAAAATAACCTCTGATTCATGAATTCTGGGGAGGGGGTTGGCCACAGCTAGACACAGATAGCCTTGGCTTGAAGAAACTGGTGCTTCCTAAACATGTTCCCCTGGAAGCAGAAAAGCACGTCTTTTTCTCCATACATTAAAAGGATATTCAATAGCTTTTTTCCACTTATTTTTTTATAATGAATGTTTCAAGTCCACATCTTCTCCCTAGCCTGGGTTAGATGTTTGCACGTCTCCAAGATTTCATAGAAAAAATCTTTTACAATTTCTTCAGAAGGAAGAATGCTCATGGTTACCCCATACCCATGAGTATTCTTAAATTATGTGTGTGGTATGAGTGGTGCCTGAAAGAAACACTGTCTAGTTCCATGCTCCTGGGTCATCAGGTGATGAGAACAAACAACATTTTTTCAAAAACGATAGACTTACTTAGTAGCTTGACTATATCTTCTTACGTGAACGTCAATTTGATGAGGTAATAAAAGGAAATGATGTTGGGAAAGTTAAAAATAACATACTTTTGTGCCGGATATTTATTCTCATAGATGAAAAGTAACAAAAATAAATCTTTGGTGTGAGGAAAACTTTAAAATTTTATTGTGGTAAAATATATCTAACAAAAAATTTGTCATTTTAACCCTTTTTAAGTGTATAATTCAGTGACAATTACATTTACCGTGTTGTACAACCATCACCACTTTCCATCTCCAAAGTGAGGAAAATTTTTAAGGTGGTTTTTATGTAAATGATTGGAGTAGGCATTGATTATTTCTAGAGAGTTTATTGGAATTCTTACATATTTAGCAGAACTTGAGCGAGGAGGAGTTGTTTTCTGAAAACAGTAGTATAATATTCCATGAAGCGCATGTAGTAGGTGCTCCAAACCAAAATGAAAAGCCCATCTAAATGATGTTAAAAAAATTTTTTGTGATAACATCAGTGAAGCTTTCTTCTTGTTTTCTCACAGGAGTTAGCAATCTGCCTAGCACTTTTGGCTTTTCTTATACTTCACTACATCTGGCGTCAGATTCAGTGCTTGCTTTTTACTTTAATGGGTAGGATATATTTTCTTTTCCCTTGACTAACATCTCATGTAGCTTCTTCCATAATGTTCCTCTTCTGGAAGCCCAGAGAAGAATTTCTTCCCAAACCTTGAGGCTCAGCATCTAAAAAGAATCATGTTGGTAGACAATACTCATGGCCCCAAACTCCCTACAGTGCAATCGCCTCAAGGCTCCTTCCTGAGGAGAAATGCTCCCTTATCTAATCCTGCATGGAGGGAACCCTGACTCAATGGGCAATTATTCAGTAATCCAGTAGGAATGAGCGCTCCAGTTTCAAATGGTGTCAATAATGCGGTGAGGATTCACTACTCTTCAGAAGAGGGAGGAGTAGCAATTGCAGTCCTTGTTTCCATAGACCGTTGTTGTTGGGTGCCATTGAGTGGGTTCCAGCTCATAGATATTCCATGTGACTAGAGTAGAACTTCCCCATAGGGTTTTCTTTACAGAACTAGATCGCTAGGTCTTTCTCCCATGGAGCCATTGGGTGGGTTTGAACCATTAACCTTTTGGATAGCAGCCAAGTGCTTAAAAGTTGCACCACCAGGGCTCCTTCTTCTGTAGATAAAAGTCTTGTTTCCTCGGCTTTCACCAGAGATGCCCAGGAGAAGACCAGATGACTCCTGTTGTAGACGTTTCCTACACTGGTGGGAGGTGGACTGGGTAGCTTCTTGGTTCTTTTTGAACCCTTGGACTCTACAGTGTCTCTCCTTGGAGGGGAGGGCTCTGAAAGAAAGGCACCCTGAGGGTAGCACATCAGGGACTGCAGCCAGGTGTGACCTGAATGAATAAGAAGCCAAAAGATCAATGTTCATATACCAACTATAAAGAATTAGAAACAAAGAAAAGCCTTAAAGCCATCAAATAGCCCCTGCATATTATTGTTGAGTTACCTTTCTCATGGCTAAGCCTTTTGTTGATTACTGTTATGAGGACTGACATCTTACTCCCTTAATAGCCTTTTGAATGTTATCAGTTTAATTAATAATATGTAAAGATAAACCCCATGTTCTTGTGAGTAAATGCCCCTGCTGGGCCTGACAGCCAGCTCCCTGCCTGTAGCTCAGAAACAATCCAGGGTCACTGATGCTGAGAGGACTCGGCTATTTATGGCTCATTGATGTTTCCCTGTGTTGACATTGACTCTTCTTGAAGTTCCCCAGCCTAGAGCTCCTTCCTCCCTCGTTAGTTGTCTGCTCTGCAATGGTGGGGAGGATCCCCATGGGTCCCTGCCATGTCTGGAATTGTGTGTAAGCAGGGCCTGCCCCCAATGCCTAATAGGCATCCAGAAGTCTGTGTGCCCTGGAATGTTCTGACAGTCTCTCTGATAGTCTTCTCCTGTCACTGTTTGTCATGAGGAGCGGTGGGAGGAAGTATTGGCTATAGACTCAGTGGGGTGAATGAGGAGAGAGAAAAATTCATGCTTTATTGGAACGAGGACCTAATTATGGATCTGAATAATTGTCTGAAGAGTTCAGTTTTCATTCTGAGAATTTGGATTTTGGGCTTTGCTGCCACATATCCTTGGAATGCTTCTCTGGGGCTGCGGGGGGAGCGTCATGCTTTGTGGCTGCCATCCACTTAGCCCATTTCATGTTTGCTGATATTCACATGCCTGTTGGGGGAGATGCGGGTGAGGCAGAATGGGGATGGGATGGGGCGGGGTGAATTGGCATTCAGTATTGCCAAGAACCTTGCTCGTGTTGTTCTCAGTGTTTGAGAAAGCACATAGAGAAGGAAACTATCCCTGGTGGTGTGTTACTCTTTAACCCCTAAACTGGAATAGGGGCAGATTGACAGAGACCTGACCAGGTGGTGGTTTCCTGGCCTCTCTGTGGATTTCTGCAGGCCTGATTCACCTTCACCACCTCAGAGCCCAGCTCCCTAGATTAGCATTTGTTCAATGCAAGGTGCACTTGTTGGAATTTCAAAGTCCATCATCAGTCTTTCCCTGAACATTTAGGATGTGATGCAAAAGTTCTTCTTGATTCACTACCGGACTTACCTCTCCTTACTGTATGGTCTGATGTCAGGGAGTGATGTTGCCTTAGAAACTTAGACACATCTCAGGCTCACTTTTTGATCTGCCACTCACTTCACTACCCATTAACTGAGCTACAAACTTTTCAGAAAGTCAAATGTTCTACTTCCCAGTGCTTTCCTCATATATGTCCTCCCTTTTCTTCTGCTGCCTGTGATTTCTAATGCTGGGTAAGCTCTACCTTCTCTCTTCACCAAATCACATATGTGTTAGGAACTGGACACAGCAAGACAAGACATCTGATTCCTCTACCAGTAGTAAATGGGGGTTCTACTTTTTGTTGGATCAGAAAAGCCTTGGGGAGCCCCCCACCCTCATTCGCTAAGAAAAAAATAACTTTTCAACAAGGTACGGAGAATATGAATCTGATAAAAAGTTCTGCTTCTCATCACATCTGCAGGATGTGCTCTGAACTTGCCCTTCCCCATTCCTACCAGAATACCCTGTGAAAGAGGTCACAGGTCACACTGTGCAAAGCCCCTCTATGAACTGGCATTTAACTGGAGAGTCGCCCTCTCTGTTTCCGCCCTTCTATGCCTGCTGTGTGCTCAGCCAATTCAAAGAGAGTTTGGTGGAAATAACATTTGATCTGCTTCATTTATTAATTTTTCAATTTATTTTGGAAAAATGGCACCGTGCCGTAACCAACTTCAGAACACAGGGCAGTGATAAATGGAGAAGGGTACGATGAGACAGTTCTCTGTCCTGAAAAGCAGACTCTGGAAGCCGCCTTCTCTCTCAGGCAGGCCCTGTAGTGGCCATTTTTCCAGTCCAGTATGTTTACTCCACTGCCCTACCATACGTACATTCCTTATACTCAAAGTACAAAAAAGAAAAAAAAAAAAACAACCAAACTCTTTGCCGTTGAGGCGATTGCAACTCACAGTGACCCTATAGGACAGAGTAGAACTGCCCCACCATAGGGTTTCCAAGGAACGGCTAATGGATTCAAACTGCCGACCTTTTGGTTAGCAGCCAGACTTAACCACTGCACCACCAGGGCTCCTCACCAAAGTACACCTAGTTGTTACTGCAAGGCCTCCACCTTCTCCCTGTGAACAACTGGGCACTTTATTGGGAATAGGTGTGGCAATTAAACTTTTGCAGAGGCGGGAGCAGTGGCAATGACAGCACCCTCCCTACTCCCCTTCCTCTCTGTCGGATGTGGCTTAGCGGACTTGCATTGTCCAAGCTGTTTCATGGGAGCTGTGCAGGGAACAGAGGTTTCCAGAGAAATGTCCCCCTGCTCTGTAGGATTAACTTGGCAGCTGCCCTGGCTGATACTTGAGTTGGACCACGGCCGCTGCCTCAAGGCCAGAGGACCACCACCCTACGAGAGCCATTTGCATTGAAAACGGGACTTTGGCATTGAAGTCTCTGCAACTGCAGCCTCTCTGAAGAAGCGCACCTGGTCTAAACTCACATATTTCACGGGACTATGAAGTTGCAGTTGTAGGAGACCCTAAAGCTTTACCATATTATAGGGATTCATTGTTCAAGACTAGAATACCCACTTTTCACATTCCATTAATCGAGTCTGAAAATAGACAAACAAGTTGGACACAGACTCTGCCAAGGCCTGGGGCAGTGGAAAGATCGAGGAAATTAGGAGAAAGGGCCTAGGTCCCAGTCCTGGCCTGCGTGTGACTCAGTTTTGTCACCAGTAAAATGGAGGGACTATTCAATGAATAGATTTCTACAGCATTTGGACGGTACAAAATATAGTGCTAATAACTTAAAAATTTGTTCCAGACTATTTTCATCGGGGGGATGGTGAGGGAAGTAGGCCTGACACAAATCATTCTGAGTGACAATAACAATACATTCTCAGTGAAATAGGCAATCCATTGCCTTTCTCAAAATATATTTCTTGTCTTGAAGCTCTTACAAAAGTCCCCATTTCTCAAACTATTTTCTAAAATCTCTTCCTAGACACCCGTTTAGCTGAATGTTTACACAGCTGTTATTACCCTTTCACATGCCAGTCACCAGTTGCTCTCAAGTTGAGTCCAACTCATGGTGACTCCACGTGTGTCAGAGTAGAACTGTGCTCCATACAGTTTCAGATGGCTGATTTTTCAGAAATAATTGCCAAGCCTTTCTTCTGAGGCAACTCTGAGTGGACTGGAACCACCAACATTTCAGTTACCAGCGGAGCATATTAACCATTTGTACCACACATCTCCTTCAGATGCCAAAAACTCCATAAAATCATCTTCACCTAAAAGTCCTTACAGACCTCATGACCCAATAGAGCAAAGACTTACGATGTACACATTAGAAGCAGTTCCGGAATATTAGATGAAAGATAAGTGATTTTTTAAATCAGTTTTACTGAGATATACGTACACTAAAATTTACCCATTTTAAGTGTACAGTTCCATGAGTTTTGACAAATATGTAGTTGTATAGCCACCATCACAATTAAGTTATAGAATATTTCCATCATCCCAGAAAAGTTCCCTCATGCACTTTTGCGGTTAATCCCTTCCCCGTATTCCAGCCACTGGAAGTCACTGGTGTTTGCTGTTAATATAGTTTCCTCAGTTGTAGAAGGTCATATAAATGAAATCATACAGTATGTAGATTTTTGTTACTGACTCCTTTCACTTAGCATAAGCATTTGAGATTTATCTATTTTATTGCAGCTATCAGTAGCTTATTCCTGAGTATTATTCCATGTATGGCTATACAATGTACCACAATTTATTTCTCTTTTCAATTGTTGGCTGATTGTGTCCTTACCAGCTTTGCCTATTATAAATAAAGCTGTTATGCACATTTGCATAGAGATCTTTGTGTGAATGTATGTTTTCATTTCTCTTGAGTAAATGCCTGGATTGTATGGTAAATTTACAGTTAACTTCAGAAGAAACTGCTAAACTGTTTCCATAGTGGCTCTTCAATTTTGAGTTTCCACCAGCAAGGTAAGAGAGTTCTAGTTGCTCCACAT